GGAAACGGGTCCGGCGTCCCTCACAAAGTTCGCCGCAGCATGCAAGCTGAGCAAGGCTCCCTGGCCAAGCAAAGCCACGGCCACGACTGTGGCAAAAAGAGCAACCCCTTCCTCTTGTCTTCTCTTCTACTACTTCAACCCATTTCTTAATCAGAATAAAATCTGAAAATGCCATAAAACCACCTATCACACAATAGTTCTAATATCACGTGGAAATAAGCCGTAACCCAAGTCTAAAGTAAGCTCCGCACTAATCAACCCATTAATCCCGAGGGCAACAAAACAATCGACGAGATGCCAGCACATCAACCCTAACGTGATAATAAATCAGAATTTGTGAAAACACCATAAGACTGCACATTTCACAATAGCCATCACATCCCGTAGAAATAAGCCCTAACCCTAGTCTAATGCAAACTTGGCACTAAGTAAGTCATTAATTCCGGAAGCATTAACAAACCAATGAACGAGATACTAGCACAATAGCCCTAAAGGATTATCATCAATCTCTTGTCATAAAAGTGTGGATTCTCTTTCTCACAGATCTTTCCATTCCACACGCACTATTTGGCATCAAACAAAAAGTCGTTCTCTCTCTCTCTCTCTCTCTCTCTCTCTCTCTCTCTCTCTCTCTCTCTCTCTCTCTCTCTCTCTCTCTCTCTGACGAATACAAACATACGACAGGAAAGTCGTAAACACTTGGCAGAAGTCGATCAGAAGTCAATCAGAAGTCGAAGTCTCAATGCTCCACGTGTCAAAATCCCGTCTTGGTTCTGCACGACATAGGTCAACAGCAACCCAGTCAACCGGAATCCTCTCCAGCACCAACGAAGACAAGCGCAGCAGCAGTATACTCATAAGGGCTCCATATCTAAGACCAGGGGGGAATACGCTGACCTGGTTGCAATTCCATAATATAAGGGAGGTGGGGAGAAGAGAACTTCGTCCAAATCTCACCCATGCTTGCCAACCTGGCAAGGAAGAGGGCCCACAGGCGAGATGCAACGGCAATATTCAAGCGCAAAGGCGTCACCGTCCTCGTGATGTGCCAGGCGCCCGTAGTGTTAAAAAATTTGAGACCAGTGCAACGCAGCGCAGCGTTAACTCTGCGCTTTGGGTTTTTGCACTGCAAGATAGCCAGGATCATATCAGCTGCCTACTTTCCACGTAGGTTATTTTACTTGGGTCATTCATGGCAGAACATGACATATCACAGAAGTTGGTGCCTTAAACCACCAGTACTTGGCCCAGCTATCAAGTCCGAGCCTACCGGTATGCCGAGCCTGGCTGAGCTAGAGCTATCGGTAGCGGGAGGCTTGCCATTTTAAAAAAAAAAAAAAAAAAAAAAAAAAAAAA